ACCAACAAAATGCATATATAGGGCAAGCACTTTATCATAATAAAGGCCATATATGACAAACCTACAGCCAACATTATACTTAACAGTGAGAAGCTGAAAGCTTTTCCTTTAATAATGGGAACAAGACAAGGATACCCACACTCCCCACTTTTATTCATCATAGTTCTGGAGATCCTAGCCAGGGCAATCAGAAAACACAGAGAAATAAAAGGCATCCAAATTGGCAAGGAAAAAGTCAAACTGTCCCCGTTTGCAGATGACATGATATTGTACATAAAAAACCCTAAGAAATCCACTTCAAAACTACTATATCTGATATCTGAATTCAGTAATGTTGTGGGATACAAAATTAATACACAGAAATCTGTTGCATTCTTATACACTAACTATGAACTAGCAGAAAGAGAAATCAGGAAAACAATTCCATTCCAAATTGCATCAAAAAGAATAAAATACTTAGGTATAAACCTAACCAAGGAAGTGAAAGACTTATACACTGAAAACTATAAGACACTCATGAGAGAAATTAAAGAATAAACCAATAAATTAAAACACATCCCATGCTCAAGGATAGGAAGAATTAATATTGCCAAAATGGCCATCCTGCCTAAAGCAATCTACAGATTCAATGCAATCCCTATAAAAATACCAATAGCATTCTTCAATGAACTAGAACAAAGAGTTCTAAAATTCATATGGAACCACAAAAGACCCTGAATAGCCCAAGCAATCCTGAGAGGAAGAATAAAACAAGGAATTACGCTCCTTGACTTCAAGCTCTACTACAAAGCCATAGTAATGAAGGCAATTTGGTCCTGGCACAAGAACAGACCCATAGGTCAATGGAACAGACTAGAGAGCCCAGATATAAACCCAAGTGTATATGGTCAATTAATGTACAAAAAAGGAGCCATTGTTATACAATGTGGAAATGACAGCTTCTTCTACAGTTGGTGTTGGCAAATCTGGACAGCTACATGGAAGAGAATGAAACTGGATTATTATATAACCCATTACACAAAGTAAACTCAAAATGTATCAAAGACCTGAATGTAAGTCATGAAACCATAAAACTCATAGAAAAAAAAACAGGCAAGAATCTCTTGTACATAAGCATGAGGAAATTCTTCATGAATATATCTCCCAGGCAAGGAAATCAAAAGCAAAAATGAACAAGTGGGACTATATCAAACTAAAATGCTTCTGTACAGCAAAGGACACCATCAGTAGAACAAAAGACATCCTACAGTATGGAAGAATATATTTATAAATGACACATCTGATAAGAGGTTGACATCCAAATTATATAAAGAGCTCACACACCTCAACAAACAAAAAGCAAATAAGGCAATTAAAAAATGGCAGAGGAGCTGAACAGACAGTTCACCAAAGAAGAAATTCAGATGGCCAACAGACACATGAAAAGATCCACATCACTAATCATCAGAGAAATGCAAATTAAAACCACAATGAGACATCACCTCACACCAGCTAGGATGGCCAACATCCAAAAGACAAACAACAACAAATGTTGGCAAGGATGTGGAGAAAGCAGAACCCTCCTAACTGCTGGTGAGAATGTAAGTTAGTTCAGCCATTATGGAAAGCAGTTTGGAGGTTCCTCAAAAAACTGAAAATAGAAATACCATTTGACCCAGGAATTCCACTCCTAGGAATTTACCCTAAGAATGCAGCAGCCCAGTTTGAAAAAGACAGATGCACCCCTATGTTTTCCGCAGCACTGTTTACAATAGCCAAGAAATGGAAGCAACCTAAGTGTCCATCAGTAGATGAATAGATAAAGAAGATGTGGTACATATACACAATGGAATATTACTCAGCCATAAGAAGAAAACAAATTCTACCATTTGCAACAACATGGATGGAGCTAGAGGGTATTATGCTCAGTGAAATAAGCAAGGTGGAGAAAGACAAGTACCAAATGATTTCACTCATTTGTGGAGTTTAAGAACAAAGAAAAAACTGAAGAAACAAAGCAGCAGCATACTCACAGAACCCAAGAATGGACTAACAGTTACCAAAGGGTAAGGGACTGGGGAGGTTGGGTGGGAACGAGGGATAAGGGGGAAAAAGGGACATTATGATTAGCACACATAATGTAGTGGTGTGGAACACTGGAAAGGCAGTATAACACAGAGAAGACAAGTAATGATTCTATAGCATCTTACTATGCTGATGGACAGTGACTGTAATGGGGTATGTGGTGGGTACTTGATAATAAGGGGAGTCTAATAACCATAATGTTGTTCAAGTAATCATACATTAACCACACCAAATTTAAAAAATACACTGTAGAGATGTTTTATGGGTGGTCAATTCCCTCAACTTTTGCTTATGTGTAAACTGTTTAATCCCTGCTTCAAATTTAAATGATACCCTTGCCATGCCCAGTTGAGGGGTTGAGTATTCTTGGTTGGAGGCCCTTCTGTTTCATTGCATTAAATTTATTATGCCATTTCCTTCTGGCCTGTGAGGGTTGTGCTGAGAAGTGTGATGATAGCCTGATGGGCTTTTCATTGTACGTGATCTTTTTTATCTCTCTAGCTACTCTTAATGCTCTCTCTTTGTCCGTGGTATTTGCCATTTTAATTATTATATGCTTGGTGTTGTCTTTCTAGGGTCCTTTGTTTTGGGAAATCTGTGCACTTCCATAGCCTGAGAGACTCCTTCCCCATATTTGGAAAGTTGTCAGCAATAATTTCTTCTGAGACTTTCTATCCCTTTTTGTCTCACTTCTTCTTTTGTTCCCTCTGTAATGTGCATATTGTTTCATTTGTATTGGTCACACAGTTCTCTTATTAGTCTTTCACTCCTAGAGATTCTTTTTTTCTCTCTGTGCCTCAGATTGTTTCCCTGTTCTCTAATTTCTATTTCATTTACCATCTCCTCTACCTCATCCAATTTATTTTTAAATCCCTCCATTGTGTGTTTCATTTCAGATACTCTATTTTTCAGTTTCTCTCTCTTTCTTGAAGTCCTCCCTGAAATCCTCAATATTTTTCTTTAGCTCTGTGAGCATGTTTAAGATACTGATTTTGAAATCTTTATCAGGAAGATTGGTGACTTCAGTTTCAATTAGCACTCCTCCTGGTGTTTGTCAGATTCTTGTTTGTACAAAATTCTTTTTTTCATTTCATATTTCTAAGGAATACTATGGAATAATGACTTTGTGTAGACAGCACCCTCTGTTGCCATAAGCTGTACTCTCTGGAGCTGCCCAGCCCTTGGAGTGATGGCAGGGTCACAGACGCATGGCGTCAGTGCCTCCCGGGAGGAAAGAGTTCTTTCCTGCTTCCCAGCTGCAGTGCCTGTCTCCACTGCTAGGGCCAGTGGGCTGAGAAAACAGGGGAAAACTTCTGTGTTACACCCTTTAGCTGCTGTAGGCGGGGCCGCCCTCTGGCTGTCCTGGCGCATTGTCAGGGGTAGTGCCAACCAGGTGGGAGGAGCATATCATGGTGGGGGTCTTCACGCTGCATTGCCAGCCAGAATGTTGGAGTGCCTGAAAGTCCTGAAAGTTCCCAACCTGCTTGGCTCAGTGTGCCAGGATGATTTTGTCCACCTGTCCTTTTTCCTGAGCATCAAGCTCTATGTACTTTTTGCCCCTTTAGCACTCCTCTCCCTACTGGGAGTTCTTCCAAAGTGCCCACCTTTCCTTTGTCCTGGAGCCACTGGTTGTGGCCACCTGTTCTACATAGCGGCTGGAATCTCAGTCTCTCAGAGTAATCTGTCTGTCTTTGCTTTCCAACCCCTCCAATCTCCAGATCACTATGCAATGCCTGTTCGTGCTCTGGGAGCAGATCTCCTGGGTTGGTGTTTAGTAATCCTGTGCTTCTACTCCCTCCCTGTTCCATTTCTCTTCCTCCCACATGTGAACTGGGGAGGGTTGTAGGGTTTGGCTCCCACCAGATTGCAGCTTTGCTACTTTACCCTTTTCTGTAAGGTCTCTCTTTTAACCCCAGATGTGTGCAGTCACATCTGCAGTCATGTCAGTCTTTCAGGATCAGTTTTATTTGTTGTATTTTTGTGCTGTATGTGATTTTGGGAGGAGGTTTCTGCATTACTTCTCATGCTGCTGTGTTTTTCCATTTTCAATCCTCTGCTTCTATATTTTGAGAGATTGTAGGAAATTGGTATATTTCTTCCTTAAATATTTAGTAGAATTCACCAGTAAATCCATCTGAATTGTGCTTTACCTTTTGGAGAGCTACTAAACATTGATTCAGTTTGCTTACTAGATAAAGGCTTATTCAGATTTTTTTCCTTTTGTGTGAGTTTTCAGATACTGTGTTTTTCAAGTAACTGGTCTGTTTCATGTATTTTTATTAAACTTGTGGGTACAGAGTTGTTCATAGTATTCCTTTATTTTTTTGTTAATATCTACAAGATTTTTAGTAATATATCATCTTCCATTTCTGATATTAACAATTTATGTTCTTTTTTTGTTCTTAGGCTGACTGAAGACATTGATTTTATTGATTTTTCAAAGAATCAGGTTTTGGTTTTGATTTTTCTCTATTGATTTCCTAATTTTAATTTCATTGATCTGCTGTAACTTTCTTTATTTTCCTCTGTTTACTTTGAGTTTAGTTTGTTCTTCCCAGATGGAAGCTTAGATGATTGATTATAGATATTTCTTCTTTTTAGTATATACATTCAGTGCTATACTTTTCCCTCCAATCACTGTTTTAATTGAATTTGACAATTTTTATTGTATTTCACAATATAAAATGAAGTCTGAATCATTTTATTCTCATTTATGAACATAATCATATCTTTTCTTCAAGTTTCTATAATATTCATGGAGCTCAAGATCCAGTATTAGTAAACAGTGATTATTTTTCTTTGTTTTTAATAATATATTTGAAATGAGTTTGTTTCAGTTATTCCCACTATAAACAATTCTAAAACACATTCCAAACACACAGTTTTCCACATTGAAATAAAATTGAGCAACGGTTTAATGTTAGTTTTGTATTTAGGTTACACATTTGGATATGACTATTCGTGAACACAGAGGAGAAATGGAACAGAAAATAATTAAATTGGAGGGCTCTCTGGAGAAATCAGAATTGGAACTTAAAGAAGGCAGCAAACAGGTAAATAATAAAAAATTACATACTTTAAATTGTTTTTAAAATGACTTCTTAACTGTGAGTATCCATTATTCATATAATCTGACTTTTTTTTGTAGAATGCATACAATAAAAATGCTACAAAATGTTAGTCATCTTGTTCATGTTAGTATTTTATATTCATTTTTCTCCTCTTAAATCTTCCCTCGGCTTTATTGAGTTATAACTGACAAAAATTGTGTATATTTAAGATGTACAACATGATGTTTTGATATATGTGTACATTGTGAAATAATTACCACAGTCAAGCCAACTAACATATCCATCACCTCATACACTTATTTTTTTTTTTTTTTGGTGAGAACAAAGTTCTGTTCATCTGTTCTCTTAGCAGATTTCATCCTGAGTATGTGCAATTTTGTACCCTTTTGCTCAGTATTTCCTCATTTCCCCAGTTGCCAGCCCTTAATGACTACAATCTTACTGTTATTTTGAATATGTTTTCTTGTATCGATGTGTTCCCATCTTTATCATAATGTGTGCATGTTTGAATATGTATAAAATATCCCTGGAATAAATTCTTTTTACTGTGGTTGCCTCTAAGAAAGGAACACAGTGGGAAGGGGTCTTTGTTTTCATTAACTATTTTTTTTACCTCATTCACATATTACCTATAAAATTTTTCAGGCCATGTGACATATATTGTTCTTATTCTAATTTTCCTTATGCAAATGTGATTGAGACTTTCATCTCTTTCAGGATATTTAAAGTATACATAAAAGCATCTTATTAAATATAAGAATTCTGATGTTTATATCTAAGTTATGATTGTCTTAAGAAATACAATTTTATATTTTTTAAATATATCAGATATTTAAATATATCTGTTTAAAGCTTGACTTATTTGGGTTGCAATTATGATTAAACATTTATTTTTCCTTGTTACATTAATATTGCTCTTTTTAAAATTTAGATAGAAATTTTGAATGAAAAATTGCAAAATGCCAAAGAACAGCTTCGAGAAAAAGAGTTTATATCATTACAAAATGAACAGGAGATAAGTCAACTGAAAAAAGAAACTGAACAAACACAACACAAGATGAAAGAAATGGAAAGTGTAAGTAAATTATTTTCCTCCTAAGGAATAGGTAGTATTATCTGAAGATTATTGTAAATCTTTATGTTCTAAACTGGTTGGTTTTAGTACTTAGAAATTATGCCATAAGTATATTTAGACTCATTATTTGTGCTTGATATCTATTAGTTTCTTCTTCTTAAAATGTTTTATTCTGATGTTTTAACTATAGGCAAGGGCATCTTCTTTTTTATCTCTATAATCCCTACAAGCATTGACATAGTATCTCTCATGTAGTAAATCCACAGTTATATGCTTGCTTGGTGAAAACAGATTTTTTGAGAACCTACTATGTAATAGAGCTGAAGATACAGGTATTTATAAGATACACTCCTTTGTGAGGAACTCCATCCAGAGAATAAATGAACAGGTATTAGATGTACATTATTGAGGCCAAATACATTGAGTTGCCAAGTGAAGCTGGCATCATTAGTTTGCATGTATGTTGACTGAAGAACCCATTCTACTCACTTACCTTTTCAAAAAGTGAATTTGCCTCTTAAGAGCTCTCATGGATGTAAATTTTTCTTGTTTTTAAATACTATACTCAAGTTTGAAACTTTATATATAGCTCTTTATTATGTTTAGTTAGCTGACTGTCTCCTCCAATAGAGTATAAATTCCATAAAGGTAGCCACTTTGTCTCCTTTGTTCACTCCTGTATCTTAAACACCTTGAACAGTACATTTCACATAGTAAACATGAATAAATATTTGTTGAATTATATGCATAGGTCAAGTAGAGTCTCTGAGAGCAAGTTTGTGCCCCAGTGGGAAACAAATGATTATTGGCCCAATCATTTAATATTCCCTAGCAAGGACTGAGAAAAATACTTACATGAAATTTATATTGATACACAACACAACTGGACTCAGCCCCTGTTCCTGACATCAGGGTCATAGTGATTGGTATTAGTTTGTTTCCTTCTACAGCCCTAAAGTAAAGTATTATTACTTACCTTCTAACCTACCACAAGCTAACTTAGCACTTACTTTACACTGACATGTTTTTTTCTCTAAGAAATAGTACTTTACTAGGGTTTTAACTGAATAAGATTTCAGAGAGAAAAGTAGTCACAGTGACAGATTTTACTTTCACAGAAAATAAGGTCAGAATCTTAACCCAGCTAGGTGGATTAACGGTGGGTTTTGATTATTCATGCCAATATAGTCTTTGTCTTTGACTTGGATTATCAAATATTAACTTTTTTCTTTTTATATTATTATATTCTTAATATATTTTATATTTTATATGTATTCAGTTGTGTTACATTCATAATGATAAAGGATTGCATATAAAAATATTAAAGGATTGCATGCAAAATATACTTAATCAGTCCCCAATTATTATAGCACTTTAGTCATTTTCTTATTAAAAAAGAAAAAAAATTTTTTAAGTTTCACTTTCACAGTGGATGGTATTTATTGTGTGTTAAATTTTATTAGAGACTTACTTGGGAGGGGAAAGTAACTTTGAAACTTAAAAATACCTTTCATTTCAGTTCATTTTGAAGCCTACAAATACCTTGTGCATTTCAGGTTATGAAAAAGCAGGAACAGCACATTGTGACTCAGTACAAAGAGGCCATAGATTTGGAGCAAGAATTGAGGCTAACCCGGGAGCAGATGCAGAATTCTCATATGAAATTGGTAGAGGCTCATCGTCAAGAAGTCCAGGCACAAAGAGAAATAGAAAAGTTGTCAAGTGAACTAGTGGAAATAAAGCAACTAGCTAAAGAGAAAGTAATTCCTTTTCTAAATAATTTTACCTTACCTAAAATCTTAAACCCTTTAATATTGAGTTTTTGAACTGTAGTATATAGTTCTTGCAAAAGTTAACTGTGTTGCACAATGCAAATATACTTGATTACCATTGAACTGTAAGCAAAATAAAGTGGTAAGCTTTATGTATATATTATTAAAACTTTACAAAGGAAGAATAACTGTTAATGCCTAATGTAGCTTTTTAATATAACTAGGACGTCCTCTAGAACTGAATTCAACCAAACTAATTAGTTTTCAATAAATTGAGTTCTCAGATGCTTTTAGGCTTTCAAGTGAGTTTAATCTATCATTTGAAGAAAATAATGAAGCTAATAAATAATTTTTGAGTAAAATTTTTTACATGTGTAGCCCCTCTTATAAATGAAAACTAACAATCTAAACTTGTAACTGTTATGAAGCTTGCAGACCAGAACGCTTGAGGAGGGAAACTGCTTTTAAAAAGCAAGAACACATATAAATTGTATTTCCCCAGTATTTGGTAAAAGCTTTGCAACCTGGCTTAAAAATATTTCTATTTGGTATACTTAGACTTTAAGAGAAATTTATTTATTGGTTTTCTAGAAAAGTTCTTATAATTTTCCTGCTTTTTGTTATGGTTATTACTAATTCTGTATAAGAATTGTATTAGAGTATTTCTTGCATTTTATTTTGGTTAATCTAACAATCTGGATCCTTGAACTAATAAAGAATATGTAGGGAATTTCTATTAGAATATGTTGGGTATTTGGGAGTCTACTAGGAAAAGAGAAGCTATGTACTTTTATCTCATTTCTATCCTTATCAGTAGTATTTAAGTGTAGTACAATTGATTTTGTCTGGTAAGTTAAGCTCAATTAATTTAAAAAATGAGTAAAATTGGGAAATTCTTAAAAATGACAGTTTAAAATAACATGTTTTGACTCCAAACTCTAAGTATATATTCATGTGTTAATCTTTCAATGTGGAACCAAATCTCTGTTCTTTGTGTATGGGTCATTTGTTTACAGTTCTACCTAGTCTTTCTTGCATAAACCAAACTAATTTCATCATCTATTTTCAATTTTGGCTTTTGTGAAGTAGGAGAAGAATTGAAAGGCATTTGTAAATCAGAGTATAACATCTTCTATGTTTTATGTTTTCTGTGGGGTTTCCCACAATATTTACAACTACCATGACTGCTTTTAATTGGGTAGCAAATGTCTGTGATTTATTCATTGAGCTATTTCAAAGCATGTAACTTTGTTTTAGTTTCAAAACTTTTCCATTTGCATGCGTATTTCATTAATGTTCATAGTATATAAAAATTACATAATTACAATTATAAGCACAACTAGCATAAATAGGTTTGGATAAATTCACAGCTGGCTCTTGATAAGCAGAGAGTACAGCTAGTGAGCAAAAATGCACAGGCATACCTAAGAATAGATTATTACACATCAAAGTTCAGCATACATGGTTATGAATTTGTTTTACAGAATGCATTGGTTAGTGAACTTCTATTATATTACAATAAAAATATACTGGTACACTCCCATTAATAGTCTCTTAAATGCCTAGATTTAAAGTATACCACTTAATAAGTATATATATTATAAAAGATTAAAATGTTCCATAAATGCACCGGATTGGTTTAGCTGTACTAATTAATTAAATAAACAAGTCTTATAGCCTTTGCTTAATATGTCATTTTTAAGGAAGCTCGTGGGAACCATTTAGCTGAAGAATTAGGGGCTTCTCAAGTACGTGAAGCTCATTTAGAAGCAAGAATGCAAGCAGAAATCAAGAAATTGTCAGCAGAAGTAGAGTCTCTCAAAGAAGCTTATCATTTGGAGGTAAAGAAAGATGTAATTTGTTGCATTATTTCCTGCTAAAGTGGGTTGACCTGTTTGGACAAAAGTTTAGATCTAGATCTTAAATGTTCATTATAGAATAGTGCACTGTGGTCTTCATTTCTGGTAGCTTAAACACATACTTTCATTTCATATCCAGTGAACTGATATACTGTGGTATTAAAAGCTTGAAATCTTTGTCCAGGCAGCCTGGTTCCAAAGCTCAGCTCATCATTTAGCACTTATGTGACCTTGGGCAATTATTATCTCTGTCTAAAATGGATATAATAATGGTGTGTATCTCACAGAACTGTGTAGAAGATTAAATGAATTAATACAGTTAAAGTTCTTAGATAGAACCTGGCACATCATCATCATCATCATCATTGTCGTCGTTTAAAATACCACTTGCCTAAACTAACTGGAAGTATTTAATAAAAAATATAAGCAGTTTCATGTGATGTAAATCTATAATGCTTTGTAATTTCCAACATTTGTTCTGATAGTAAGTTAAAAAAGGCAATATTCGAACCTTATAGCTTACTTTTTTTTCTATCAGTATGTCCTGAGCCTTTATTGAAATAAGCAGTGTTATCAATTAGAACAGCATTTCTTATCTTTTTAAAAACTACCTTTGAAGATATTATCCAAAAAATATGTATAATATCTAAGTAAATTACAGAGTTCTAAAATTTATAAACAGATACAGTTTATAATTATAAACATAAAATGAATTATAAAAGTTGGTTCTAATGTTGCTGTTTAATATTTGGTACTAATGTTTTATGTGTATGATGTAAAATATGTAATGTTTTTCTCTTTGGTACTCAGCAAAGATTTATTTTTAAAGTGTGTATATTGTTTGAAAATGAGAAAATGTCATTACAGTTAAAATAAGGGATCAGTAATTTTTAACAGTATTTTTTAAACAGATTTCAGAATTGTCAGAAAAATCACTTAATAATTGCAAAGCTGATATTTTTGATGAAAATGAGATTTTTTTAAAGCTTATTGTGGGAAATTTTAAACATATTTAAAAGTAAAATAGTATAAGTCCTGTATTTATTGCTCATCTTCAATAATTATCAACTCGTGGCCAATTTGATTTCATCTGTAAGTACACTGACCATTTCTTTTATCTGGAAGGGAAAACTTTTGAGAGTGAGAAAGAGTGCTGTTAGTAACTATACCAGGACACCAGGTGTAAAACCCAGACAGTCCTAGGCAAACTTGGAAATATAATCTTATATCCTTCACTTCACTCACTTCCCTTCCTCCCTTCCCGACATTTGCATATTATTTTGAAGGAAATCCCAGACAATTTATTTGATCAATAAATACATCTATAAAAGATAAGGGCTATTTTTAAAAAAACTTAACCACTATACCATTATCATACCTAAAAATTGACAGTAATTCCTTAATATCATAAAATATCCAGTCATTGTTAAGATTTCTCCAATAGTCACAAAAATGTTTTTATGGTTAACTTGTTCAAATTAGGATCCAAAGACAGTCCATTGTATTTGGTATACTGTTCTAAAGTAAATATGACTAGATTTCTTTTCCTTTTTTTCCTCTAATACATCATTTGTATTATTTGTTTATAACATAAACAGAATTTAGTTTAAGTAGAAGTGGAGAGTATATCAGAATGTTGTTGAAACCAACTCCACCCTATTCTTCTCCCTTTTCAATTTTGTGGTAACATAGATGATTTCACATCAAGAATGGAAGATTTCTGCTGAATCACAAAAGACTTCAGTGCAGCAACTAAATGAACAGTTAGAAAAGGCAAAACTGGAATTAGAAGAGGCTCAGGATACTGTCAGCAATTTGCATCAACAGGTCCATGACAGGAATGAAGTAATAGAAGCTACAAATGAAGCATTACTTATTAAAGTAAGTGAACATATAATATTACATACAATATAACTATGAAAAAGTATATTTATAGCTTATTTCCCATACTTGTAATTTGTAGAGGACTCTATGACCACATAGTGACCAGTTTGAATAAAAATAATTTTACTTAGAAGACACTAAATTTGGAAATTAGTAATAATGAGGTATAGCATATTACCATAGGAGAAATAATTTGTAAGTGTTTAAACACATCTCTCTCTCTCTCTCTCTCTCATTCTCTTTTATCTTGGTGAGAACATTTAAGTTATAATCCCTTGGCAAATCACTGTTATACAATTTAGTATTACCAATTATAGTCACCATAGTATACATCAGATCCTCAGACCTCACTCATCTTATACCTGAAAGGTTGTACCCTTTTACCAATGTCTCCCCATTTCCCTCAGCTCCGGTAACCACTTTTTTAGTACCTGTTTCTATGAGCTTGACTTTTTTTTTTTTTTAAGATTTTACATGTGATACCATGCACTATCTTCCTCTCTCTGTTTTATATCACTTAGCATAATGCCCTTAAGGTATATTCATATTGTCACATAGCAGGATGGCCTTCTTTCTCATTGGCTGGATAATATTACATTGTGTGTGGGTGGAGGAGGGCAGTGTATACATAAAAAAACATACATACATACATAACATACATACCACATCTTCATGTATTCATCTGCTGATGGACATGTAGATTGTTGCCTTACCTTGGCTGTTGTAAATAATGCTGTATTTAACATGGGAGTGCAGATATCTCTTTGATATCCTGTTTTCATTCTCTTTGTGTATGTACCCAAAAGTGGTGGCACTAGATCAAATGGTAGTTCTATTTTAATTTTTTTAGGAGCCTCCATAGTGTTTTCCATAGTGGCTGTACCAATTTACATTCCCTCCAGCAGTACACAAGGGTTCCCTTTTCTCCACACCCTTGCCAACATTAGTTATCTCTTTGTGACGATAGCCATTCTAATCATTGTAAAGTAAGGTTTTGATTTGTACTTACCTGATGATTAATGATGTTTTCATGTGTCTGTTGGCCATCTGTATGTCTTCTTTTGAAAAAATATCTCTTCAGTTCTTCTGCTCATCTTCAACTGGATTATTTATTTTTTTGCTGTTGAATTGTGTGAGTTCTGTATATATTTTGGATGTTAATCCCTTATCAGATATGTGATTTGCAGATATTTTCTCTCATTCAGCAAGTTGCCTTTTTATTTTATTAATGGTTTCTGTTGTTAAAGCTTTTTAGTTTGATACTGTCCTGCCTATTTATTTTGCTTTTGCTGCCTTTGCTTTTGGTATTAAATCCAAAAAAAAAAATCTTTGTGAAGCCCAAAGTGAAGCAGCTTACTCCCTTCTTTTCTTCTAGATGATTTATGGTTTCAAATCTTGAATTTAAGTCTCTAATCCATTTGGGGTTGATTTTTGTATATGATGGGAAATAGTGGTCCAATTTCATTCTTTTGCATCTGGCTGTCCAGTTTTCCTGATAGTGTTTATAAAGATACTGACTCCTTTGTCATAAATTAATTGGCTATATGTATGTAGGTTTGTTTCTGGATTCTCTATTGTTCCACTCATCTATGTGTGTCCATTTTCTATTTCAGTACCATATTGTTTTTATTACTGTAGCTTTGTAATATGGTTTGAAGTCAGGAAGTAGGATGCCTCTAATTTTGTTCTACTTTCTCAAGATTACTTTGGGTATTTGGGGTCTTCTGTTGGTTTTTTTTAGTTGTTTGTTCTATTTCTGTGAAAAATGCCATTGGAGTTTTGATATGGGTTACTTTGAATCTGTAAGTTGTATAGTATGGACTGTTTCACAATATTTAAGTCTTCCATCCTTGAGCACAGAATATTTTTCCATTTTATTATGCCACCTTTAATTTCTTTCATCAGTATCTTAGATAGTTTTCAGTGTACAGGTCTTCCACCTTGGTTAAATATATTCCTAGGTGTTTTAAAATTCTTTTTTGATTCAATTTTAAGTGGTATTGTTTTCTTAATTTCTCTTTCAGTAGTTTGTTATTAGTGTATAGAAATACAACAGATTTTTGCATATTGATTTTGTATCCTGCAAGTTTACTGACTTCATTTATTAGTTTTAACATTTCTTTGGTGAAGTTTTTTACTGTGTTGTTTCTGTATATCTCATCTGCAAGTAGAGACAATTTTGCTTTTTCCTTTCCAATTTGGATGCTTTTTATTTTTTTCTTGCCTACTTGCTCAGGCTAGGACTTCCACTATTGTGTTAAATGAAAGAGATTGAGAGAGTTAGCATCTTATCTTGTTTCTGGTCTTAGAGAAAAAGCTTTCAGCTTTTTGCTGTTAATGATGGTAGTCATGGCTTGTCATATATGGCTTTTATTATGTTGAGGTATGTTTTCTCTGTATCCACTTAGTTGAGAGTTTTAATCATAAATGGATGTTAAATTTTCTCAAATACTTTTTCAATAAAGATACTGACTCCTTTGTCATAAATTAATTGGCTATATGTATGTAGGTTTGTTTCTGGATTCTCTATTGTTCCACTCATCTATGTGTGTCCATTTTCTATTTCAGTACCATATTGTTTTTATTACTGTAGCTTTGTAATATGGTTTGAAGTCAGGAAGTAGGATGCCTCTAATTTTGTTCTACTTTCTCAAGATTACTTTGGGTATTTGGGGTCTTCTGTTGGTTTTTTTTAGTTGTTTGTTCTATTTCTGTGAAAAATGCCATTGGAGTTTTGATATGGGTTACTTTGAATCTGTAAGTTGTATAGTATGGACTGTTTCACAATATTTAAGTCTTCCATCCTTGAGCACAGAATATTTTTCCATTTTATTATGCCACCTTTAATTTCTTTCATCAGTATCTTAGATAGTTTTCAGTGTACAGGTCTTCCACCTTGGTTAAATATATTCCTAGGTGTTTTAAAATTCTTTTTTGATTCAATTTTAAGTGGTATTGTTTTCTTAATTTCTCTTTCAGTAGTTTGTTATTAGTGTATAGAAATACAACAGATTTTTGCATATTGATTTTGTATCCTGCAAGTTTACTGACTTCATTTATTAGTTTTAACATTTCTTTGGTGAAGTTTTTTACTGTGTTGTTTCTGTGTATCTCATCTGCAAGTAGAGACAATTTTGCTTTTTCCTTTCCAATTTGGATGCTTTTTATTTTTTTCTTGCCTACTTGCTCAGGCTAGGACTTCCACTATTGTGTTAAATGAAAGAGATTGAGAGAGTTAGCATCTTATCTTGTTTCTGGTCTTAGAGAAAAAGCTTTCAGCTTTTTGCTGTTAATGATGGTAGTCATGGCTTGTCATATATGGCTTTTATTATGTTGAGGTATGTTTTCTCTGTATCCACTTAGTTGAGAGTTTTAATCATAAATGGATGTTAAATTTTCTCAAATACTTTTTCTGCATCTATGGAGATGATCATATGATTTTTATCCTTCATTTTGTTAATGTACATCACATCAGTTTATTTGTAGATATTGATCCAGGCTTGCATCCCTGGAATTAATTCTATTTGATTATGGTTTATGATCTTTCACTGTATTGTTGAATTCTGTTTTCCTGATGTTTTGCTGAGGATTTTTGCATCTGTGTTCATCAGAAATATTAGCCTGTAATTTTCTTGTCTCATGGTTTCCTTCTCTGGTGTTTCTTGGAAGAGTTTGAAAACTATCAGTATTATTTTAAATATTTGGTAGAATTTGCCAGTGGAGCCATCTGGTCATGGAATTTTGTTCGTTGGGAGGTTTTTGATTACTTATTCAATCTCCTTTCTAGTGATTGGTCTATTCAGATTTTCTATTTCTTCATGATCATCTTGGTAGGTTGTATGTTTCTAGGAATTTATCCATTTCTTCTAGGTTATTCAGCTTGTTGGCTTGTAATTTTTCATATCAGTCTCTTATTATCCTTTGTATTTCTGTGGTATCAGTTTTAATGTCTCCTATTTCACTTCTGATTTCATTTATTTGACTCCTTTCTTTTCTTAGTAAGCCTTCCTAAATATTTGTTTATTTTGTTTATCTTTTTAAAAATTTTGTTCTCAGTTTCATTGATCTTTTCTATTATTTTTTCAGTGTCTTTCATATATTTATGATCTGATCTTTGTTATTTCCTTCCTTCCACTAACTTTGGGTTTAGTTTATTCTTCATTTTCTAGTTACTTAAGGTATGAAGTTGGTTGTTTACTTGAGATCTTTCTTGTTTCTTAAGGTATCACTATGAACTTCCAAACCACTTTGCTGCACTCCATAAATTTTGGTATGTTGTATTCCATTTTCATTTGTCTGAAGATGATTTTTTATTTCTCCTTTGATCTATCAGTTGTTCAGTAGTATATTTTTTAATCTCCACATAATTGTGATTTTCCAGTTTTCTTCTTGTAATTGATTTCTAGTTTAATACCATTATGGTTGGAAAATACTTGATATAATTTTAATCTTCTCAAATTTATTAACTTGTTTTATGGCCAAACATACGGTCTTTTCCATGTGAGCTTGAGAAGAATGTGTATATTCCTGTGTTGGATGGAATGTTTATAAATGTCTGAGTCCATTTAGTCTCATGTGTAGTTGAGTTCAATGTTTCCTTACTTGTTTTGATCTATCCATTGATGAAAGTGGGGTATTTAAGTCCCCTATTATTATATATTGATGTCTATTACTCCCTTCAGGTCTATTAATATTTGCTTTATATATTTAGATGCTCCGATTTTTTTTTTTTTGCTGCTGATCCATTTATTTAACAAATATATATTGCATATTTACTTTTTGTGTGTGTGTGTGTGTGTGCCTTTTCTTTTTGGTATCATTAATCTACAATTACATGAGAAACATTGTTTACTAAACTCCGCCCATCACCAAGTCCCCCCCACAAATGCCATTACAGTCACTGTCCATCAGCATAGTAAGATGCTGTAGAATCACTACTTGTCTTCTCTGTGTTACACAGCCCTCCCCCTGCCCCCCATTATACATAATTCCCCCCTTCTTTTTCTCCCCCCCTTATCCCTCCCTTCCTACTCACCCTCCCTAGTACCTTTCCTTTTGGTAACTGTTAGTCCATTCTTGGGTTCTGTGATTCTGCTACTGTTTTGTTCCTTCAGTTTTTCTTTGTTCTTATACTCCACGTATGAGTGAGATCATTTGGTACTTGTCTTTCTCCACCTGGCTTATTTCACTGAGCATAATACCCTCTAGCTCCATCCATGTTGTTGCAAATGGTAGGATTTGTTTTCTCCTATGTTTTTTTATGTGCATAAATATTTACAAATGTAATATCCTCTTATTGAAGTGATCCCTTTATCATTATATAATGACCTTTTTTGTGTTTTATTATAGTTTTGACCTAAAGTCTGTTTTTTCTTATGTAAGTATAGCTACCTCAGCCTTCTTTTATTTTCTGTTTGCATAGAATGTTTTTACATCCTTCACTTTCAATCTGTGTATGTCCTTGAAACTGAAGTGAGTCTCTCTGGGCAGTATATAGTTGAGTCTTATTTTTATTTTTTTAATTTTTAATTTTATATTTTTGTTTGTTCTCATTGAGGTATAGTTGACATACAATATTGTATCAGTTTTAGAGGTATAGGATAGTGATTCAACATTTATATACACTACAAAATGATTACCACAATCAGTCTAGTTACTACCTGTCACTCTAAAGATTGATTAAAATATTATTATTATATTCCCTATTACATACTTCAGATCCCTGTGACTTATTTATTTTATAACTGAAAGTTTGTACCTCTTAATCTCCTTTACCCCTTCTCCAAAAATCCCCTGCTTTGGCAAGTACCAGATTGTTCTCTGTTTCTGTGAATCTGTTTCTATTTTGTTTTTGTCTTTTTATTTGTTTTGTTTCATAGATTCCATATGTAAGTGAAATTACACAGTATTTGTCTTTCTCTGTCTGATTTATTTCACTTAGCATAATACCCTTTAGGTCTATCCATGTTGTAACAAATGTCAAATTATTTTTATGGCTGAGTAACATTCCATTATATGTATATACCACATCCTCTATCTATTCATCTATTGATGGACAGAGGTTGCTTCCATATCTTGAAACATATTCTTCTGTCTCCTCGTTTTTCTTAACTCTGTGCTTTTTTCTAAAAATTAGGTAGATCAGCTATGTTTCCTGGTCTTGAAGAAGTGGCCTTATATATAAAGTGTTCTGTGGGGCCTAGAAGCATAATCCCCCCTGATCACTATAACCATGCACTTCCGGGTGTTCCCTATATGGTCCATGTGTGCCCTATTATTGTGTTTGGGGCATGACACTGTGGACATGCTGGTGGGTTGGGCTGGCTTCTGGCCTGTCTGGCTGCAATGCCTGACTGTGACTGTTGCACAGCTGTACCCCTAGGTGGGAGCCTTCCTCTCTCTCTTTTCCCTCTGGGACCTTTATAATGTGTATATTGGTCCTCTTTGATGATATCCCATTACTCCCTTAAGCTATTTTCATTCATTTTTCTTTTTGCACCTCTGACTGGACAAATTGCTTTGCCCTGTCATTGAGTTCACTCATCCTTTCTTCCACTGATCTAATCTGGTATTGAACCCCTCTGTTGAATTTTTCAGTTTAGTTACTGTAGTCTTCACTTTGATTTCTATTCAGTACATTCTTACATTTTTCTCTCCTTATTAATTGGAATTCTCACTATGTTCATATATTTTTTGCCTGACCTTGATGGGCATCTTTATGACTGTTGTTTTGAACTTCTCATCAGGTAAATCACCTGTTTTTGTTTTGTTAAGGTCTCTTTTTGGAGTCTAGTTTATCTTCTGTTTGGAACATATTCCTCTATTTCTTCCTTTTTTTTTGACTCTCTGTGCATTAGATAAAACAGCCAGTCTTTCTCAGTTTTGACAGAATGGTCTCATGTAGGAGATATGCTTTATTGATCCTGGTCTCAGCTTCTTGTCAAACCTTTGTGATTGTTCAGTCACAATCTTAGTGGCTCCTATAGTTGAGAATGTGCCAAGATCTATCAGTGTCCCAAAGGGGAGGATTTCATTCAGCAACTACATGCAGGCTGATTGGAAGCTGGACCCTCAGGCAACAGCTGGGAAAGTATGTAGTCATGATCCTTTCAGGGAGAAACTGGGAGGTAGGCTTTTTTTCCTGTTCCCTCAGTGCTGGATCCAGGCATATAACAACAAGGGGGTGCTCCTGTGCCTGTTAGGAACTGCTTCTTTGTTTGCTATAGTACTCTTGGATACATGAATGCAAGCCCTTATTGTCTATCAGAGCCATACAGTTCAGAGGCCTGTCCCTTGAGGAGCAGCTTTGAATACTCAGCCCCAGCTGATGATACTGGTGATTGGAAGCAGGCTCTAGGAAAAGGGCAGAGGAGGTATCTGCTGGCTTACTCAGTCTCTGGGGGTATGGGTCACAGTTTACCCCTACATGCATGCTAAATTAGAAGGCTGACCCTCAAGCAGCAGCTTTAAAATATGAAAATAGGCCTCTTTTAGGAAAAGACTGGGAGATGGGCATTTTTTTGCCTGTTCCTTCTGTGCTTAACCCTGGGAGCATAGCCATAGTGCATCCTCATGAGCCCATGAAGAACTGTTTCTTTGTTTGCTATAGTTTTACAGATCTCATGAATGGCAAGCCCTGTTGACTTTCAGAGCTAGTTGGTTGGGTGGGGGTGGGGGGCCTCTCTCAGGTGAGTCTTAGAAGTTGGGGCACTAGATATGGGGTACAGACCCTTCACTACTCAGACAGAAGCTCAGAGCTGGGTGTTCCCTCATATTGTATGCCCTGTCCTGGGTGTGGGCCTTTCCTACCTATTTTGATGTGGGTATTTTCTTATTCACCCAATGTGTAGGTGTCACTCAGCTAGTTTCCTTGAGAGGGAATTACTCCATGTGTAGTTGAAGATTTGGTGTGTCATGGGGGTAGACCTGGGAGGAACAACCTATGTTGTCACCATTTTGGACTAGAACTTGTTCAAATACAAACTTATTTACTTTAGAGGATTTTATACCTGATATACCTAAAAAAGTAGAAGCATTTTTCAATAAGTCAGTAAGGTTCTTTTAAAAATCATAAGGTTGAAAATGTAGGATTATATTCAATTTTTTAAAATTTGGTTTGTGTATGTACATCATTTTCAAATAGCCCATTTTGCTGCCTATCCAACCCTACTGATCATGAAACTTTACTCTGAAATTTGGAATTAATGTTGGTGTCAATGCATAGAGGTAAAAACTTCAATATTAGTTCAAAATTGCCAGTATGTATAATTAACATTGTCAGCCAAGACCTAAAAAAAAATCACAACTCACTTATAGTTGTGAAGCAAAAATGATTTTATAGCAAAATGAAAATTATTAAAAAACAAAAATGTTAGTACCTTAGAAATCTTTCTAATTACTAAGCTGAGCATTCAAATTTCTCTTATAATATACTTGATATTCATAATACTAGAGGAAAGTTGAATAGACATAATCTAAAATTACATTTAGGTTGAACACTCCACTTTTTTTGAAACAAGTGTACATAGTGTTCTGGGGATTTACAACACTTATACAAAATTATAAAACTTTTTTGTGGAAAATTGTAAAATGTAAAAGATTCTGCATTGTATATCCCTTATTACAGTAGTTATTTCTGCTCACTTGTTAGATATTACCAATGAGATAAATGCAAGTAGATTGCACTTATCAATTATTCAGAAGTTTTTAAGTTCAACTACTTAGAAAATTGCCAAAATATTGGCTATTAGCAGCAATTCCTTAATGAACCATTGATAAAAATGATCTTAGAATATGCACCATGCTTAGCCAATGTACCAGTAAAAAAACAGAAATCCTTTGTTTTGTGACAGTAGCTTTCAAAGTTAATGTCAACTGGCTCTCAAGTCTAGACTGAAGAAGAATTAAGGAGCATAAGAGAGAAAGAAATAAAAAAGCTAATAGAAGAGCAGAAGCTGGCATAACTGTACAACTATAACTAGCTATAAATAATGGAAAGCATTTCCACTGATAGCAGCAATAAATGACAAGAGTGCAGAAACAGAAGTGAGGGAGAAAAGAATAGTGTGTGAGGGAACTGATCTTTCCAGCTCACTTTCTTTAGTACCCTAACAAATACCCTAGTATATGAGGATAACTGGAGCAAGGGCAAATCTAAGACCATTTTCTGAGAGCCCTAAAGGCATTGCTGTATTATGGCACCAGTACAATAGTGATCACAACAATGACCTTCTTTGAGTCTTAAGAAAAAGTTGAATTATGTTTAATGTATTCAGTGTAAAAGTTAGGTGTTAAACTGTAAGTTAAATGGAATCCTACTTATCTGAGACACCACATTTTTCAGTTATGGCTAGATAGCATACAAGAGTTAGAAAAACTACAACTGTACACAATCCTGTATGTGTTAACTCTGTAGCTACTTAATTGTGATTATGGGAATGTAAATACAAGATTTACTACAAAAAATTGATACTCCAGATGCTTTTAGATAAAGAAATATAAAGATATCAAAGGACTGAAATATGCATATTAAACTTTCATTTTGTGATGCACACTGCAGTTATGAGTTTTAGCTATAATCACAGTATTTTTAGAAAGAATAAAAACTAGCAGATTAAAAGCAACCAATTTAGAAATATATATTTTATGGATACAACTCTCGTGAATTGATCCAAAAAAAATTCCTATGCTGGGGGATGAAGATTGACTTAGATGACTTCTAAGAATCTATGATTTTCTGAGTAATTCATTCATTTAACAAATATGTGTTGAACACTTACTATGTACCAATTTTTCAATAGGAATCAGAATTAACCAGATTACAAGCCAAAATTTCTGGACATGAAAGGGCAGAAAATACCAAGTTTTCACCAGCCTCATTTACATCTCCAACAGAAATTATTCCTGATGTTCAAGATGGAAAATGTGCTAAACATTCTCACACAGTTTTTCTCAAGTGTAGAAAACTCTGTCGCTCTATTAGTGCCAGTGACCTTAGTTTTAAAACTCATGGTGATGAAGATCTTTCTGAAGAATTACTACAGGACTTAAAAAAAATTCAGTTAGAACAACCTTCAGCATCAGAAGAAAGCCAAAAGGATCTGACTTACTCCCAGTCAGATTCATTTAAACCTTTTACATATAACCCGGATGACGATAGTTCTGAGAATAATGACTTCAGTACTCTTAGTGAAATGCTAAGATACATAAACAAAGAAGTGAGACTACTGAAAAAATCTTCTGTGCAAACAGGGAGTGCTTTAACTCAGGTATGTATTTTATGCATTAGAGTTCTAATTTGTCCCAGTGAGTATCATTTTATTGTAGAAAAATCCTTGTATTTGAAGCATGCCATTAGGTGTACGGGTATTGAAAGTACAAAAAAATCATTTTACATTTGGAATGCTTTTACCCTAGACAATCAGGAGTTGAAAATTCAGCTTTGAAATGTTTTTGGGGCTCCAAAATTAGTTGTATTCCTAGACTTCCTGGGAACAATTCTAGTAAAAATTATTAAGGTAACTTTTGTTTTAGTCATTGACTTTAACAGTGGATTAGAATATCTCATTCATACAATTTATCTACTTCCATTATTTTTTTAGCATATCATAGGCACCTATCCTTACTACACATACTTACAGACACTCAACATTGTTTATAAGCATTCAATTTATAGTTTGCAAATGCATTTAAAGAATCTCTTCCAGGTACTGTCAGCTTTTTTCAGTTACCAATTTGCCTCATTTTCAAACACATCAGAATAGGCTTGGTGGCCTAAAAAATTCAATAAGTGTTTTTAGAATGGATCCAAGACAAAGACTGTTGAAGCTTCATTTCTTTATATCATTCCTTACATTAAAAAGAGCTTATTATTTATAAGTAGAAAACTACATAAATAAAATATTCTTATTGGTAAAATTTGCACATTATGAAATTTCAAGTGTAAAGCAAACAAGGTTGGTGGTATAATAAACAAGACAATCATATAAAGCTAGATAAAATTAGTTTTCATCTAGTCTTTACAGTTAGGTTTACTGTACATCATTTATTCAGCAATTCAATTCATTCAGTATTTATTGGCCATCTACTATATATACCAGGCACTGGAATTATAGAAAGAAACAAATATGACCAAGTCCCTGTCCAAACAGAACTTACATTTTAGTGGTGAGACCACTGATAAACAAGTAAATAGACTTGTTTATTAGAGCATAAGTGCTCTAACGTCAGGTGGAAATAAGTGTTATGAAGAAAAGCTTGTAAGTGGATACAATGTGACAGGTGTACTACTTTTAGATAGGGCATGTCAGGGAAGTCCTCTTGAGAAAGTCACATTTGATCAGAGTCCTGTAGGAAGTAAGGAAGTAAACTATCCCAGTATCTGGAGGAAAGGGAACAAGCAGGTACTGAAGTCCTGAGATAGGAGCATGCATGGCATGTTCAAAAAACAACTTGGAGGGATGTATCTGGCTTGGTGTAAACAAGGGAGAGTATCAGGAGATGAGATAAGAGATAAAGCTAGGGTGAGGTGGTGGGGCAGAGCACGGTGGTGCCTTAATTATCATCTAGGTCCTGTAAAAACTTTGAATTTTATTTGAAGTGTGACAGAAGGCCCTTGGAAGGTTCTTCTAATGAAAGTGACATGATTTATGCTTTTAAAGTATCATTATGGCTGCTTTATGAAGAATAGATGATAAAGGGACAAGAACAGAGACCATCTAGGAGGCTAGTTGTAATAATCCAGGCAAGATAGACTGGAGGATAGATGTGGAAGTGTTGAGAATGGTTCAATTTCTGGATATATTTTTGAGGGTAGAGCGAACAGGATTTGATGTAGGTTTTGGGTGAAATAGAAGTCAAGAAAGACTAAAGATTTTGGCCAAAGTAATTGAGCATTTATTGAGATGGGGAATACTTAGGAGATGAGCAGATTTGGAGGCATGGATAGAATCAAGGGTTTTATTTTAGTATGTTAAATTTGAGGTTTCTATTAGATGTCCAAGTGGAGATGACACATTAATGACTGGGTTTATGAGACTGAAATTAAAATTTATCATCAGCATATAGATGGTAGTTAAAACCATAATGTTGGATTAAATTAAGGGAATTAGTGGAGGTAGAGAAAAGTTAAAAAACTTAACATAATTCAGTAAGACCAAATTACTTTTAGGATTGAAGAAATTGAGGATCTAGTAAACCTCACTGAGATGTACACACTGAGATAAGAGAAAAATTAGCAAATATAATATCTATGAACAAAGTGAAAAATGGGCCTCAGGAAGGAGGGTGAGATTAACTGTATCAAATGTTGCTAAATAAGGTGAGGACTTTAAATAATAATATTTGGCAATGTAGAAGCTGTTGATAACCTTCATAAGCATGGCTTCAGAGTAATAATGGGGATAAAAGCTGATTATAGTGAGATCAGCAGAGAATTGGAGAAAGAACAGAAACAGAAAGAATAGACAACCCTTTTGATATAGAATACAGCAAAGAAAGGAGAGGGATGCAATGTCAAGAGAGAGTTTTTGTTTTGTTTTTTAGGATAAAAGATAAAACAGTATTTCTATGTTGGTAGAAATGATCAAGTAGACAGGGAAACTGATAATTCAAGACAGAGAATAGAGTGAAAGAAGTAAAATCCTTGATGTAGGCTGAAGGAGATAGGACCCAGTAGTAAAGTAAAATTGGCCTTGGATAAAAGAAGGGGCAGTTCATCTTCTATAGTGGGAAAGAAGGCAGAGAATAATATATGGGTACAGAAACACATGGAGTGGAAGGTTTGGTGGGATGGGAGGAACTTCTTTATTAACTGCCTTAATTTTCTTAGTGAAATAAGGCAGAGCAAGGTGTTGGAGGTTTAAGAACAGGGAAGGTATATGAAATAGTTATTATGGAGAGTGGTAAAATATCAGTGAACTAGGGAAGTCTAATAGGATTGCCAAGCAGATAGTTTTGTTGTGTGGAAAGGCCCTACAACATTCAAGATATCTGGTATCTCTTGTCACTGTCTATTATATGTCAACAACAGATATACCTTTCTCCACACCATAGTGACAACAAAAAGTACTTTCACAGATTTCCAGAATGTTCCCTGGGAGAGAGTACTGCTCCCTTTAAGAACCTCTGCTGTATTCCAGTAGCCTATAGAATGAAAGAAGTGTGAGAGTCTATTTTTGCTAAAATAAAACTAAAGTGATATAGATAAATTTGATAAGTACAATGACAGATTGTGATCATAATAATACATAGCATTTACAGTATGCTAGGGACTGTTCTAAATGATTTACATAAATTAACTTATTTTAGCAATCCTGCAATAGGTACTGTTATTAACCTAATAATACCAAATAGTTCTATTTTACTGGGTACTATTATCCCCATCATATAGTTGAGAAAATAGATCTCTGTTCTTAGCTGTTAATGTACTATTCATATAATTGTGTTTACATTTTCTTCAGTACTGTCTAATTATATAGTTTAGTCTTGGAACTGTTTAGTCAGTTAGGGATTAAGAGAGTAGGACTTAAAAGTTACTATATGACTAAGAAAATGATTTCTCATTCTATAGGCCATTGGAATAGATAGATGCATTTAAGTAGTCAAGTCATTTTACCAATTCTATTGTCATGGAAGTTCAGTGCCAAGTTAAAATATGCATCAAACTGTACCTAGTTCTTTATAAAATCTAGCCAAGGTTAAATTTAATACACATGATTTTGTTTTTTGCTAGTGATACTCATTGAGTTTTAAATGCATTAACCACAATCAGTACTCATAACTTTAATCTCACATGGAATTTTCATGAACCCTAATAGCCCATTAGCCTCAGTCACATTACCTGGGTTCAGTTCATTTTGCCTTGGATAGAAAGGACTGGCTCTTTGGGTTCTTTGGAACTCCAATTAGTGCTCCTTTGGGACTCATGCTGGAACTGATGCTTGACAAATGCTCACGTGTGGATTTTCTTTAATTCTATGGTGGTCATTACTTGCATATTACACCTTAATTTTAAAGGAAAGGTAACTGAAGACATCTTCTCAATGCTTTTTCTATAGGGCTTCTAATCTTTTTCTTTTCTAATTTTACTGTTTTTTTTTCTTTTTTAAATGGAAGGTGAGAAAATTCAGTGCCAGAACTGCTACTATTAAAAGAAACTTTGACTTGCTATAGTTTTACTTTTTAACTACCATCATGGTCATTTACATGTACATTGCATTAGTGGGTGTCTACCACTTTGTAAAATTTGACATGAGACATTTTAAATTAGGGTGTAGAACCTTGATTTACAGGCTAGTTCTGTTTTTCAGCTTATTTCACCCACAACTAAAGTATGACATTGTATTGGTCTGATTTAAAAGCAGAATTTTTAAGCTCTTTTAAGCCAAGGAACCTGTTGTTTAAATGAAACATAAAGATACCCAAATATGTCTATCAGATACAAAGATAATTTATCTGATTGAAGGTAGCTTGTGTCTTGACCTATACCCTAGATACTTGCTCACTGTTTTTGATAGCTGCTCATGCAGAGCCCCAAGACCAACCCTGGACTAACCTTTAAGGAAAATAAACACAAGTTTAAGGGAGTTTAGGGTACAGAGGGAAGGGTACTACCACAGTGTTTTGCCCTAGCCATTATGCCCTCAACTCCTTTACTGCTGCACTTGACTATAGTAGAATTTTTTGTAATTGTCCTTTTCTGCCATCTTCCAATTTAATCTACATTGTTAAAAGATCTTTTTCTTTGGTATAGTGAGAGAGTAAATTTGAAAGTTTGGTTTGAAGGTGTCATCGGTTATTACATTTGTTTCCAACTAATGGTAATGAGTTAACAGTTCTGTAGAAAGTAACGCCAACTGGCTTAGTCCAGATAGCATGTCATCTTCAGATTTGTGTACAGGACCCTTAAGCTCTTTATTGGTCTTGGCCATCATTGTTGGGCTGTGCTCAAGACATTAGTTGGCCTTAATCCAGCCCTACTCCATAGACTGCAGTCATAAAGTCCACTGGTACAGCATTGAGAACATAGAAATTGGTATGTGAGAAGTACTTGATAAGTGTTTGCTCCCTTTCCTGTGTTTCAGCCCAAATACTGATTTTTGTAATGGTTAATTAACTATGTTGGCTGTTCCATTCACAATACAGCCTGTAACACAATAGTATTCTACTTTCAGATTCTAACAGAAGCTGCAAAACTCACAAATTACACAGGTGCACAATTTTGCACACAATATCATGGAGTTCACAGATTTCAAGTTAAAAACTCCTGTTGATTAGAGCCATGGAAGTGCTGTGATACTGATTAACTAGCTAATTCACAGTTTATTAGGAAGTTAAAAGAAGTATTATTTATATCCATCTTATTACTAAAAGGGAAAAATAGTTTACAGAATATGGTGCAATAAGATGAAAGATAAGAATTGAGAGAATCAGCTATAGGGAAAACAAAGGTGGAAAAAAACAAGGTAAAGCAGGAGTACAGGTAGATATCTAGAGACATAACATTTTCACATTCCTGGCTCAAGTAAAGACTAAGGAATGACAAAAGTGTTTGACCTGTATTTTTTCAATCTCCTGGGCCCTTTCCCTCTATTTTTCTATTTATGTTGGGCTACTACTTTGTGCAAACATTTCTCTCTTGGCTTTTCCTTTCCCTCTCTATTTTTCCTTTTCTTCTTTTTCCCTGCCTTTTTTTAGTAGCCCTTTGTGTATGTGTTACTGTGCCCTCAATATCTTATTTTTAATATGTCCCCTCTTTTTGTTTTTTAAATCACTTTAGTTTAACCTTGCATGTCCTCCCAACCCACAACCAGAATTACTTTCTTTTTACCTCCATGAGTCCATTACTGACTTTTTTTATTCATATTTTCAATTGACTAAATATTTCCCACTCTTGCTTTAAATTATGCCCCTGATTACTACAGTGCACTTTTAATGTTAAATCAGTATAAGAGTATTTCAGGTACTAATCTATTATTTTTCATTTTCCAGGGAGAAAATTTGTGATTTAAAGATGTTGATGTGATGAAAAATGGGATTTTTGGTCCTGTGCAGTGTTTACTTATTATATGTATGTCATGCTTCTGTTATTTTACTGCTTTTGAATAAATTTTATATTTGTGTATTTTTAAAGAAAGTTCTTCTAAAGCTTCTACTTTTTGTGAAAATTAATTCAGTTTATTCATTATTTTTTATTTAAAATTCTGTGTTTTTTATGTAAAAATCATTGTTACAATACATTGAGTAACTTATACTTCAATCGGACTATCATATTTGCTTATTTTTCTGGTAAGCAATATTTTTTTATAATAAGTAATGTGAATGTAGAAGTCATTTTTCCACAGGCTCATAATTCACTAATAATGGCTGGCTTTTGTTGATTGTTTACCATTTATCAGTCACTATTCTAGGCACTTTGTCTGTGAAGTCATTTAATCCACATAACAATCTTGTGAAGTAGATATTATTATTATTCCTGTTTTAATGGAATAGAATGGAATTTTTTAATATAATGACACGTGTGTGTTTCAAAGAAATTTATTTGTTGTAAGTATCAAGAGTTGGACTTTGGATTAGTGACTCTGTTTATACATGGTTAACTTTATGGTAGCATAAACATAATGCAGCAAAATTAAGATGACAGATTTAAACCTACAAGTTCAAAATAGTAAGGAGTTTGGAATTGATGTCTTAGACTAAAGTTTTAATTTGTTAATAAATATAAATATATCCTTAGATAATAATATGGACTCAGTCTTTTCTAATAGTTAAAGATTAAAACCATTAATATGTTGTCAGTATCATTTGAGCACGACTAATTGAGAATTTGGAATTGTCAGGAATGGAATAAAGTTTATCTTTTTATTGCTGCTTAGTAGTGACTTGGCCCTAAGAGTTAAATTGCTGATTCAGTCTTCTTAGTATCCTTATTTCCCTTTCCCTTGTCTTTGTACTGTGTGCCTGGTGAGCTCTTGTTCATAGACTAGGGAGCATTACTGAGGAGAGTTACAATATACATCTGATACCTTTTGTAGTGTCCAATCTGAGTTGGACTCAGGAACAGTTTTTGATAAACTTTAACCTCTTCCCTTTAGCTTCTCTTCTCTTCCTCATTGCAGGTATATTAATATTTATTATTCTTTTCAACTACCCTCTTAACTGAATCTTCCATACTCTCACAAGATAACTTAGCTACATACTTCATAAGAGATTTTAGGTCCAATTTCCTTCAATTTTCTTCATCTTTCTAGACCTGCCTATGCTAGTATACATTCACATTTTCTTCCCGCCTTTATCAGAAGGGCCTTTTTGTCTACAAGGCTAATTCTTGTAGACAAGGATTTGTAGACAATTATATCTCCTTACTTATTTAGTAAATTCCACTATATCCCTTCTAACCTAGAATTTTGTTCTGGAAGTATTCTTCTTATTTATCTTTAGTCCTCTATCTTTTTTACTTCTTCCATTCATAGAATCATGTTCAAATCCCTTCCCTGGCCTAAAAAACAACATTAAAAACCCCACCTTTATACTTCCTACCCTTCAAGAAGATGCTCTGTTTCCTTATATTGCATACTTACTATTTTTTTTAATCTTCCACATCCCACTGTATTCATACAATTGAAATAGGAACAGCCATGTTATGCTGTGGTCCAGTAACCTCTATAATCCCTGGCTACAACTGATTCATCCAGGGTTAGACACTTAGTTTGATCAGGGCCAGAGTTCTTTATTAAGAATTTTTAAACTGAAACTGAAACAAACAGACTCACTATCTCTTTGCATGCTTGGACTAAAATATAAGGCTCCAGACCTCTTGATAACCATTTTTCCTACCACATGGGCCAGAGAAGCTATACAAGTAGTCTGGAGAAAGGAAAAGAGAAAATGAAGCGAAACTACAGAGAGGGATAAGGAAAAGAATAATCCACTTGTTTTTTGAGATCCAGCCACATTACTGACCTTACAGTCTGAGACATCACAATATTTTTATATAGTAAGCCCTTTTATTAAGCTAGTTCAAATTAGAACTGTTACCTGCAAGCAAAAAAAGCCATAACCACTGTACTTTTTCTTTTGCACCAAATTTCTTAGGAAAACTAGTCTATACTCCTTGTTTTACTCTTTACTCTACTAGACCCAGTGTCCTATTTTCATTATTCCATTTAATTTTTTGTAACATTTGACATTATTTACTAGCTCTCCTTTGATACTTCTATATTTCACTCTAGAACACTGCTAGTCTCCTGATTCTCCTTTTAAAAACAAATAGCAACTTTTTTACACAATGCTTACTATATGCCAGGCAGTGTTGTAAACGCTTTACAAATTTTAATTCACTTAATCTTCACAGCAACCCTATGACAAAATATCTTGCAAAGGAAGTCATGCACTACAGCACTTTAGTACCACATGATATAGATATGAAATAATTTATTGAGGAAAAACTTACAAGGAAGGTAGTAGTAGAGTGCACACAATCCTCCAAACTCTTATCTTATAGCTTAAGTCAGGCATAGTATGTGTGCATTGTAATCAAAATTTCAGTATAGAGGAACCCTGCCTCCATAATATCCTATGTATTTGTTAGGCTAGGGTAGAACAGGGAGTGTCTAATACCAATGGAAACTCCATTTTAAGGGATGTGGCTAAGTAGACATAACTACTTTTATATAATATATCAGGAGATCCTTTTTGATATTTCTTACAAGAATAATTGCCAATATCATTTCTGGTCAAAACTGTTTTATAAATATCATAGCGACTATTGTCTCTTTTAGACTGATCAGTTGCATTATTCCATCCAAGCTTTCCTCCATACTTTTGTCTATATATCTCTTTGCCATCTTTTTTCCATACTATAGGACCTACAGGAGTAGAACAGGTGGATACACACTGAAGGACTACTCCTCGTCCTAAATATGGAGGACTGCTCACACTAGCTGTAATAGTGCAAGCTTGTGCAGTGTGTGTATGTATGAATGTTATCACCAAAATTAGAAGTAGAAACTTCACTATCCAGGAGGCTTCATTCCAGTGATGAAGTTTGTTGGTGGCCATCCTCTGGAGCAGCTCTTTCTGAGGATGTTGATATTGGAAGTTCTTCTTCATATCGTATCTTAATTCTTTTTCTGGGTAGCCAAATCAAGCGTTGATCCTCTGTAATGACACAAACAAACCCTTTGCCCCACACTTTGTATGACCTTTATACCACTGTGAAGAACCTATTGGAGACCACCATACAGGAACTGCTGTTGTTTCAGGAAAAGAAACATTGTCAGAAAAATGTATTTCCATAGCTGATCATCCATCACTTTTGAAAAGATCAAAATTAAGAACATGTAAAGCATGCATTAAGCGTTGATTTGCTGTTAATTTTATCATGTCTGGGAGTAATCCCCCTTTTTGTTTTAGCAAATAATACTTAAGAGTAAGATGACGACGTTCAATTAGAGCTTGACCTGTAGAATTGTAAGGAATGCCTGTTTTATGAGTAATACTATACAGCTGAAAAAATCTCTTTAGCATAGAGGAGAGGTAAACTGGAGCGTTGTCAGTTTTTATGGCGGCAGGAATGCCTAGTATTGCAAATGCTTGTAAAAGATGAGTGATAACATGATGAGATCGTTCTCCTGGTAAAGCTGTTGCCCACGAAGCGGAAGAATAAGTATCAATAGAAACATGAACATACTTAAGAGTTCCAAATTCAGGAACAATAGTAACATCCATTTGCCATAGGGCGTTAGGACATGTTCCCCTGGGAACAGTTCCTGCTTGCAAACAAGGAGAATTAATTTGAGAACAGGTTGGACAAGAATTCAAGATATTGTGAGCTTCAGATGCAGAAAGAGAAAAACGCTTCTGTAAGGTGAAAGAAGGAGCATGAGTCAGGTCGTGATATCGTTGAGCTGGTGAGCAAGTAACTAAAGAAACAAGCTTGTCTACTTTATCGTTATAATATGATAAAGAACCTGGTAAATTAGAATGTGATCGTATATGAGTAATGAAGAAGGGATGTAGACGTTGACGGATACACACCTGTAATTGAGAAAATAAAGTATTAATAGGAGATTGTACGGTGCCCAATGTTGCAGTTTCTAATAGAGGAACAGAAAAAGCAGCATAAGCAGAGTCAGTAACAATATCGACAGGACTTGGGAAATCTTGCAAAGCTTGCAACACAGCATATAACTCATTTTGTTGTGCAGAAGTAAAAGATGTTTGAAAAGTTTTTGACAAACCAGAACAAGTTATATAGGCTGCTTTAAGAGATTTTGTACCATCTGTAAAACAGGTAACAGTATTTAATAATGGATTAGGAGAAGTTTTATGAGGAAGGATCCATTGATGGCACTGAAAAAATGAAAATAACTTATTCTTAGGGTAATGACAGCCAATATTTCCTAAATAATCTGAAAGTGCAATTTGCCAATGAGTATTTTCTTGAAATACTTGCATAATATTTTGTTTAGATAAAGGAACAATAATAGAGTGAGGGTCTTGACCAATCATCTGTCTTAGTCTCTGGCGTCCTTTAAGGATAATGGAGGCTACTTTGTCAATGTAAGGTTGTAAGGAGGGTTTAGTTTGATACTGCAGAAATATCCATTCTAACCAACCATCACATTGACAGAGCAATCCTGTAGGAGAATGAGGAGTAAAGTAGGTTTATAAAAGTAAGGGTTTGTGTAAGTCAATTTTTGATAATTGAGCTTTTTGAATGTGTTGTTCTATCCACTTGAGTTCTCCTCAGCTTTTGAGGTTAAGTCTCTAGGACTATTAAGATCTGAGGGTCCTTTTAAAATATTAAAAAGATGTTGTAATTTATAAGTAGGAATTCCTAATAATGGTCGGATCCAATTAATATCTCCTAAGAGCTTTTGAAAATCATTTAGTTTTAAGATGATCTCTCCTAATTTGAATTTTCTGAGGAATTATTGAATTTTCTTGAATTTTATTTCCCAAATAATTCATTGGGTATTGTATCTGTATTTTATCTGGCGCTATTTGTAATCCCCATTGTTTTAACTCAGTTTCAGTCTCATTGAGAATATTGGTAAGAGATAAATGCCTAGGCAGGGCTATGAGAATATCATCCATATAATGAATGATATAAGCTGAAGACCATTTTTCACGTATAGGCTGAAGAGCTCTATGCACATAATTTTGACAAATTGTAGGGCTATTTAACATTCCTTGAGGAAGTACTTTCCATTGGAATCTTTCTGAAGGTGCCTGCAAATTTGAAGAAGGGACAGTAAAAGCAAACTTTTTTCCTATCCATTATAGCTAAAGGAATTGTAAAAAAAACAATCTTTGAGATCAATTATAGCCATGTTCCAGTCTTTTGGAACCATAGTTGGAGAAGGGAGGCCTTGTTGCAAAGGTCTCATAGGTTTAAGAACTGCATTAATTTGTATTAAATCTTGTAAAAGTCTCCAATTTCCTGATTTCTTTTTTCTAACAAATACAGGAGAATTCCATGGACTCGTGGAAAATTCTAACCTATCTAACTGAAGTTGTTCTTGAACTAATGTGTGTAGGGCTGCCAATTTTTCTTTATTGAGGGGCCATTGATCCACCCAAACAGGTGTCTCAGTGGTCCACTGTAATGGTATAGGAGCTGGCAGCCGTTTATCAATGACCCCTAAGAAAAAGACTGAACTGATGAGGGCTCATTAAAAGATAATGTAGTATGCCATTGTTGTGTTAAATCTCGTCCCCAGAGATTAATTGCTACATCAACAATTAAAGGTTTTAACAAAGCTA